TGCGTAGCCGTTGAGAAGTGTACAACTAAGAAAAGCAAGTCGCATCCGTTAAATAAAAATCATAAAATAAAATTCAGTCTAATATTATCTTTACTGTAGAGGGTTTCTCTATGTGCTCCAGGACGGTGCCGACATCTCGCGGCTGCTAGCGCTAAGTTCGGCAGACGTACCCGAAAACTACTAGAGGTGCGCATGTCTAGCGGCGACACTTTTTGACTCGGCTTTGTAACCAAATCATGATGTAGAGGTGGCCGATTGGTTAGAATTCGCAGCGTAATTACGCCTGAGAATCTGATTGGTCAGGCCTAGTAACGTACCTCCCGGATTCATCTCCTCGCACCTCGGAGATCATCGATCCAACGGATTTCTCGATAGGAGTTCTATATCAATCGCCGAGCTTATCAGTCGACTGCGCTTGCTCTCTCTTCCATATCAATTTATCATTCTGTATCTCATTGTGCGTGTGTTTGTATAAATTATGTATCGTGTTAAATAAAATCTGTTCTGAGAGATCACAAATAAAAAGGTGAAATCCCTTGTCGTGTTCGGCTTTCTCATTGGTCGTTACGGTGGTCAGTAACTAGCCATTCGGCCCGCGGTCATTGGATTTCCCACAATTATATTCAACTTTAATACTATTTAAAATGTTTGATTCATTCGCGCGCAATCACGTGACTACATGAGTTCCGGTCCAATAAAATTCTTTGGCGCGTCTCTCCTACAGGGTCCCTATTTCGAAAGAAAGAGATGTGCCATCTACTAGTAAGTATTACAGCTTCCTACAAATCTGCTTAATAATTGGTGATATACAAAGAATATAAAAAAAGGTACGATATAGATTTAAACGATAACATATATTTATATATAATTTTAAAGTATCTTTTCTATCTTATAAAAAAAATATATATTTATATTTATATGTGATAAGTAATATCTTTAGAAAAATAATATTTTATAAATACTAGGTATTAAATATTTTGGATAATTCAATAATGTTTTCGATATAACTTATCTTTATTGATAATTAAAATTTTTTCAGATTTACTTGTTACACTGCGCATATAAGTTAAACCGAATCCTTTACTTGTAATATCGTCATTGTGATTTATTAAAAATCTGTTCTAATATTTGTTTATAATTAAATATACATTACATTTATATTAATAATGGCCTTAAGTAAAAATGATCCAAATTCATATGCTAGACCAGGTAATTTATATTTATATTTCATTAATAATTATATAGCATATTGTAATAAATATACTTCATGAATATTAATTTTTATTTTATTATTATTAATAATTTTTATTATTATTTAAAAAAATTTGTATAAAATGTAAAATACTAATGTATAAATATTTATAGCATATGTATTATTTATTATCGTAATTAAATATTTACAGATTTTTCCGTTATAACTCATATTGATTTAAAGTTGAAGGTTGATTTTGAAAAAAAAATTTTGTCAGGTACAGCGATTCTTAACGTACTTAAAACTGGCGATTCAAATGAATTGGTAAAAATTCTAATTATAATGTTTTGTTATTATTCATTCATCTTTTTTCATGTTATATTAATTTAATTTTAATATTATTTTTAATATTTAGATTTTAGATAATCGTGATCTTAATATATTATCAGTTAAAAATGCTGATAATGAAATTAATCTGAGTTATAAAATAGATAGCAAAATTGAATATGGTTCTAGATTTGTTATTTACTTACCAAAATATGCATGCTCACTTGATGATGACGATAAAAGGTAATAATTATATTATTTATTTATAGTATTGTTAATACATTTAAAATTCCATCTTCAGATGTACAGTTGAAATTATTTATGAAACTGCACCAAATGCAACTGCTTTACAATGGTTGACACCTGAACAAACAGCTGGAGGAAAACATCCTTACCTATTTTCTCAATGCGAGGTAAATATTTTATTCATCTTAATTACTATAAAAAAGAAATTACTTTTATTATACATGTATATGTATATTTAATCGTGTCCTAAAGGCTTTACACGCTAGATCTTTAATTCCTTGTCAAGATACACCATCTGTCAAATTCACCTATACTGCTCAGGTATATAAATAGATATTTAATATATTATAATATACAAATTTATTTAAAGAATACAGTAAATTGTCTTTTCAGATAACAGCACCAAAAGAGATGACAGTTTTAATGTCTGCTTTATTAAAAGAGCAAAAAGAGACAGAAAATACAAAAGTATATACATATTCTCAATCTATTCCAATACCATCATACTTAGTGGCTATTGCAGTAGGTGTATTGGCATCTAAAAAGATTGGCCCTAGAACTACTGTCTGGGCTGAGCAAGAATATATAGAGCAAAGTGCGTATGAGTTTGCTGAGACTGAGACTATGCTAAAAATTGCTGAAGATATATGTGGGCAGTATGTGTGGGGTATGATATTTTCAAAAAAATATAATAAATAAATAAATAAATATATATATATATATTTTTTATTTCTTTTTTAAGTTATTTATTATTTTTATATATAATATTATTTTCGATAGGCGTGTATGACTTGTTAGTGCTCCCACCAAGCTTTCCATATGGTGGAATGGAAAATCCATGTTTAACATTTGTAACACCATCCCTTCTTGCTGGAGACCGTTCTCTAGCTAATGTAGTAGCTCATGAAATTTCACATAGCTGGACTGGTAATTTAGTAACAAATGCAAACTTTGAACATTTTTGGTTAAATGAAGGCTTCACTATGTTCGTTGAGAGAAAGATAAATGGAAGGATGTTTGGTGAGAAATACCGAGACTTTAGTGCTTTAATTGATCTTCAATATTTGGAAGAATCTGTTAGTAAAATCAAATATTACTTCATATATGCTTGTTCAAAAAACGTATTAAATATATATAAGATAAGTATTATTTATTAAATAAAATTTGTTTTTCAGGTTGAAACATTTGGAAAAACGAATCAATTAACAAAGTTAGTTCCCAGCTTAATAGGAATTAATCCTGATGATACATTTTCTCCTATACCTTATGAAAAAGGTCATACATTTTTATATTACTTAGAGCAATTATTAGGTGGTCCAAATGTATTTGAACCTTTTCTAAAGTCATATTTAGCAACTTTTCAATATAAAAGTGTAGTTACTAATGACTGGAAGGAGTATCTATACAAATATTTTTCAGATAAAACTGAGGTAACCAATAGTATAGCACATTGTATTAAAAATAAAAATAAAATACTAAACGTATTTATGACATTTTAAGTTGTTAAATTCAGTGGATTGGAATGCATGGCTTTATGAACCAGGTATGCCACCGGTCATACCAAATTATGATAAAAGTTTAGCTGTTGCCTGCACTGAATTAGCACAAAAATGGATTACATGGGATGAAAATAGTTCAGTACCTTTTGACATAAAAGACTTACAAGATTTTACCCCAATTCAAAAGAAAACATTTATAGCTGATTTATATGCATCATCTACTGTTTTGTCAGAGAAAAAACTTAAAACTATGCAGAGTGTATATAATATTGATTCTGTTAAGAATTCTGAAATAAGGTAAATTAAGTATATATTAAATTTTATGTAAAATCAAGACTTTTTAGTGTTGATCGTGATCTCATGTGGGAATCTCAAAAATTTTAGCAAAATTAATAAATTTCTGAATGCACAACGATCAAAAATTAATTCAAAACTAGTTTAAAATACTACACATATATTATTGTTTATGAGTTTATTATAGTGAAAAAGAAGATAGTATAGGTTCTATTCTCAGGGTCGCGAAAATATTTGCTTGGGTAAAAGGGTTTGTCAAGTGGAAAAGTTTGAGAAGCTCTATGTTAAATAATAGAGGTATATTTTGTATTCATGTATTTAACGTAATATATGTTTTCAGATTTTTGTGGTTACGTTTATGCATAAAAAGTCTCTGGGCATCAAAAGTACCAGATGCTTTAAAATTTGCAACCGATCTGGAACGATTGAAATTTGTTCGTCCGATATTCCGTGATCTTTACAACTGGGAAGAAATGCGTCAGACTGCGATTGATGCATATTTAAAAAATAAAAATAAAATGATGTATATTACTGCTCATATGTTAGCTAAAGATCTTCATCTTAGCGAATGAAAAGTTGTGTCATTCTATTAATATTGTATTTTTGTAATAAATAATTTTCTTTTCATACTAGATATATCTTTTATATTAGAAATTCCAGATATAATCATTAATTCATTTAACATATATACACACCATTATTTATGTTCGTATATTTATTAATTATTGTAAAAATGAATAGTCCAAGCGCACGCGTATTAGCGTAAAGTTTTAGAACGCATGCGCCTGAATTACAAAATTTCATGAATGCATGAAGAAAAGGAAAAATATATTCGGTTTCCAATTTGTCAAAATTACTTTTTCTACAATAAATACGTAATTTATAAGTTAATAAAAATTTATTAATATATAAATAAATAACAATGGCTGGTGGAAAAAATGAACAAGGTGGATTTCAACCAGTAAGTAAATTGTTAAAGATATTTTCTTATGGTATATAGAGAGGTTAATTTGTCCCTTTACATTTCAGGATTCCGATGTTCATATTACTTACGATGATCAACAAAAAATCAACAGATTCGCTAGACAAAATGCTAAATTGGAAGATTATAGAGAAGAACTTAAACTTAAACAAGTGATTAGAAAATATAATCTATTCTTAGATCGTTCTACTAATTTGTAGCCTTATTTGGTTATATGTCATTTAATTTTATTTTAAAATGGTTGAATTTAATTGATTTATCTTTTTTTTTTTAAATTTATAGAATGAATTGAAAAATTTAGAAGATGCTTGTGATGAATTGACTCTCGCAGATGACGACGCTAAGATACCATATTATATTGGAGAAGTTTTTGTTCATCAAGATACTGAAAAAACACAGGTTGTTAATAACCATCACTGAAAACGATATTATAATTTTAACATGTATATATACCGGGTGCTTTGTAACTGGTGGTACAGGGGAGCATCGAATGGATTCTACATGAAAAATTAAATCGAAAATCTAGAATCAATTTTTTTTTATATAAAGTTTTGTTTTAAAGAAAAATAAGTTCAAAAATTTGTCAAGTACGCCTGTATTTTCATGTAGAATCATTTCCTGCTTGTTTATACCACGAATTATAGGATACCCTGTATATTTTATTATTATATATTAATTTTGTTTATAATTTCAGAGTTGTTTAGAGAATGCTAAAGAAAAAAAGAAAGCAGAGATAGCAAATTTAGAAAGTAAATGCGAAGAATTGAAATCATTGATGAACGAATTAAAGACACAGTTATATGCAAAGTTTGGGAATCATATAAATTTAGAAAGGGAAGACGATTGAATTATTTACTACTATATTTAATATATAGAACAAGTTTGTATCAAAAATCATTTGTGTGACATAAAATTCATTTTATTCTGACTAAAACAATTGGCTGCTAATTTTCTAAATTATTGTTATTCAATATATAAACAAAAAAATATACGAGTATATCATGAATATGCATTTTTTCTTTGTATATGTATTTTAGATATTTTTTATACTATAATTATATTAGTTTAAGAAATTATTTTTGTTTAAGAAATTTAACCCCAATAGAAATGTAAGATAAATTAAAAAATTATTATTTTCACTATTAGATAATTTTTCTTTTATTTAAGTATTAATCGGACATTATTAAGTACATATAAAATCTTCTTTATAAGTAATATACGTCAATATAAAAACAAAAAATATTGTTTTAAGTACTTGTTATGAATTTGGATAAGAGCCAAAGTATTAGTGCTTAGTACATTTACATTTATGTTGCAATATACATAAATACTAAATTTTCTATTTCCCATATAGAATTTACAATAAATATATATATATTTTTTTAAATAAAATAAATGTATATATAACATAAATATTTTATTTGTTTATTTTTGTCTTTGAATAAATTAACAAAAATATTCAATATCTTATATTATCTCGATCTAACTTTAAATGGCTTAGAAATAACTTTTTTTTCTATTTTTAAAATTTAAATATGTAAAATGTCACAAATATTTTTTATTATCTGTAGGTCATATATTGTGGTACTTATAATAAAAAATATCGCATCTTTTATTATACATACAAAATATATAGTGTAGTATTCACATAATAAATTTCTAATAGATTAAATTACACTAAGAATGTACTTGCTTTGATTGTGTAGTTACACAGTCTTTAGTTCCCTCTCATTTTCCTAGAGGTAATTTTAGTCTCACCTTATAGTCTTAATCTTAGTGCATGCACTACTTTAGCCAATGCAATAGTCTGTAATTCTTTGAGTATAGAACTTCTAATACAATATATATTTATTACAAGTAAGTTTTTTTAATGGCAAAATGATAATTAAATAAAGATATTGATCAGTAATCTAACGATTGTTAATATTTAATTGTATTAATTTATTTTTCTAATTATTTTATATACATATATACATATATATTATTTACTTATTATAAATTTAATAGTATTTACAGCTTTGCTCTGTATATATATAATTTTATCTCTAAGTAAGTTGTTATTTTTATAACAGCTTAGAATTGTAATATGGATCTAGCAAAAGAGTTAATATTAAATCTTAAGCAAAAGAATGTATCACATGTGGGATATGGTTTACAAAAGGAATGTGAAGCACTTGTTGGACATATTTTGCAAAATATGGTGAAGTCGCAATTACCATCGTTAAATGTTGACAGAAAAAATAAAAAGGATTCAGTTAAATATAGAGAAGAAGGTAAAAAAGTCTTTTAAATTTAATTTATCTATGTGAGCATGTGAGCAAATATATTTTTGTTAATGTAGGGAATCAACATTTTGTTATGGGCGATGATATTGAAGCTATAGAAAGTTATACTAAAAGTCTTGCATATGCTAATGATAAAGAATTAATGGCATATGCATATGCAAATAGATCTGCAGCTTTGTTTAGAAAAGAAATGTATAAAGAATGTTTGATAGATATCGATGCCGCTTTATTATGTGGCTATCCGGAAAATAAAAGAAAAAAACTTAAGGAGAGAGGAGATAGGGCAATCGATGAACTTAAGAAAACTTTACAAATAACTGTGGATAAAGATAGTAACGTTGAAGAAATTATAAATCAAATTTGTTTGATTCAAAATGCAAAAGAAGACATTACGAAAACAGAGACTAATGATATTAAGCATGTTAACGATAAAAAAAATGGAAAAGATTTATTGCTTGATAATCAAAATCGTGAAAAACGATTTTTTAATGTTAGCCATTTACCGATTGAATGTATAACAAAAAAACCAAGATATTTAGAGAAAGAAGGTCCTTTATTGCTCACTCATGGTCAAAATAAGGAATGTCCTGCTGCTAGTAATGGTATCGAAATTGTATTTTCTGAAGAATTTGGACGTCACTTTAGAGCTACCAAAAAGTTTGGTCCAGGTGATATAATTACAATTGAAAAGCCATATGCACACGTTATCTACGAAGAAAGGTAATGATATATTTTAAAAGTCGAATTAATTTTTAAATTTTTTTAATATTGTAGGTTTTATACGCATTGTCATCAATGTCTCTCAAGATGTTATAATTTAATACCATGTCCAAATTGTCCAATAGCACAATATTGTTCAGAAGAATGTAAGAAGACAGCTTGGGACATGGCTCATATGACAGAATGTCCAATTTTGGCGTTATTACAAAGTTTATTGAACGTTGATAAAGATAAGATTAAAATGATTATTAAAATTGTTAGACTGCTAATCGTAGTAACAGAAAATGGCTCTAAGATAAAAGAATTACAAGAGGATATGAAAATTGCTGAATCCAATCCTGGTATGTAGTTTAATCTTTTTTTTTATATTTGATATATCACACATTTAGCATAACATAGTTAAATATAATTGTTTACCTTTAGATAGCAGAACAGCAGGTTTTACAGATGAAGGTGTATTATCTAGTTTCAGTGCTCGATCTGCTCTAAGTCTTGCAACGAATATGACAACGAGACCATTGATTGGTATCAGTGCATTTGCATGTATTTCAGCTCTCACTTCTATTCTTCTAGCTATACGGACTAATTTTTTTGGCAAAAAATATGAAATTGATTATTTGGAAGATATTAGTGAATTATCCGATTTAAAATTTTGTGGTAGTATTATGTTTCGAGCTTGCGTTATTATGTCTTCAAATTGTTTTTCAGTAAGTTTTATAAGTATTTAATATGTTTATGACTTTTTCTTCTTATTTTTTGATTCTTTGCTTTTACTTTTATTAGGTACAACAAGAGCCAGGAATTAAATCTGGATCAGGTTTATACGTGACACATAGTTTGTACAATCATTCTTGTAATCCAAATACATTAAGACATTTTGAAGAGCTGACTATGATTACTCGTGCGTTACAGCCGATTTTACCAGGAGATCAAGTTTTCACTAGTTATGGTCCTGCATATGCATATATGTCACGTGCAGAAAGGAAAGAAAAAATAATGCAAGATTATTTTTTTGATTGCCAATGTTCTGCATGTATATTCAATTGGCCCACTTATAATGAAATACTTAGTAATCACGTGGGTTCAATTACAAAAAAAAAACAACTCGTGGAAAAATTAAAACCCTTTAAACAAAGACTTCTTAAGAACATGTATGATATTGATGCAGTAAAAAATGTTCTTAATATTTTATATAATGAAGTATCTCAACCATGCGAAGAGATAATTCATGCAGAACAGTATCTCAGAAGCTACTATTTAGGTAAATTTAAATGATTTAAATTGCTTTAAAGAAAATAATCATTGCTTGGCTTGTTTGTATTTAATGGCTTATTTATGTGCTTTGTAAAAACTGCTTTAATTTTTGTTTATTACTTGCACAGCTACTTATATACTGGCTTTAATAAAGTTGCTTTCTCTTGCATTAACAAATATTTATTTCTTAAATTAATTTGCTACTGCTTTAGTTATAAACATATGGAAATTAATAATGCTACTTGATATTATAAAAAATGCACTTGTATTATTTATCATATATTTTGTTTTTTAGATCCATAATACATGGGTTTATTTATTAAGCAGTATATTTAATAAAAAGACATGAAATATTTCTAAAAATTTTTTATTTAAGTTATATTTATATCTTGCTAAAGGACACTAAATACATGCACATTATTTTTTACATCAACTTAAGGAAATGTGTATACATATATATATATATACACACACACACATATATATATATATATATATATATATATATATATANTATATATATATATATGTACGTATGCATCTGATATGTATATACACACATTTATTTATTTATTTTTTAATCAGTGTCAATACAAGGAAATTATAAACTAATGTGTATATGTAACTATATAGTTTATAACAATACTTTACCTTTTCGGTAAGTATATTTATAATTCCTATTATATATAATAAGAAATATAAATCTATATTATTAGTATATGAAAAGAAAAATAGAAATTAGGAAAAAAATGCATTATTATATTCTCAAATTTAGAAATAAGATGGAATTATTTTTATGAGATGTAAATATTTGTTTACTAAGAGTTTAGAAATTCATATTTAATAATTCATTATGATAACGCGTAAAGTTTTATAAATTATATAAAACAAAAGATTAACGAATGGATGTATATATAAATATTAATTTTAATTGGATACAGTACTTTACACATTACTTTTGTTTTTAGTTTAATTGTTTTCTCATTGATAAATAATATTTTTACATTTTTTATTTGAACTAAAACAAATTTAGAAAACAATAAAGGCCGGTCAATTTTTATGTTATTATATTGCATATTAGATATAATGTATAATTAAACAAAATTAAAATTACGTCCATGCTAAATAAAAGAGCTATGGATATTATATTATAATATTTTCTACATTAAGTTCATAACGAAATCATATAGAAGCAGTATACACATATATATATATACATATGTATATGCTATTATCTCTGATCATTTATATCAGAGAATGAGACATTTACAGATAAAAAAATTTGCTATTATAATGAATTGCTATTAAATGTAATTTTGAGTATAATAAAAAGCTTCAATAAAATATTCAATTTCTGTACACTATTCAAAATAAAATTGATAAATAGTATATAGAAATTTCATACATATGATTGAAAGTAACATGATTATGAGTAATTTAGATAAACGCACACACTTCAAATATTCTATTACTTATACAAAAAAAAAGAGAAAATAAAAGTATTATATGTATATGCAAAGCATTTCGGTTTTAATACCATTGAATATAAAGAAGAAAGCATTTTATAAAGAATTCAAATATGTATTTGAAGTATGTAGTATTAAATAAAAGAAAATGCTATGTATAGCAATTTTCTACGATTTTTATAAAGTGTGCAATATTTATCATTGAATAATGTAGAAAAAAATGAGTGATTAAGAACGAAGTCGTTTGAGTGGTTAAAAAAGTTTCATGAATTACGGTAATGCTAGTTAGAAACGTCCAATATTAGGAAAAGCTGCAAAAAGAGGTGTTGGTGTTGGTGTTGGTGCTACTGCTGGTGGTGGTGGTGGTTGTTGATCACCAATGCTCTTGAGCAAATTGCCTTGTAACAAACTGTCAAGAGCCTTTTGAACCGTTGGATCATTTAATAATGGCGATGGTGAAACTCCCGTAGTAGTTGTTGAAGTCGTTGATGCTGATGTGGCATTTGTTGATGCTGCTGGCATAACATGATGTGTTCATAAAGTCGGTGGGTACAAGCCCAGACAAAGTATGATTTGAAGTTCGTTCGCTTTGACCACACTGTGCCGCAATTTCACAAAACACCACTTTACACTAAATTTATTTCAAAGCGTACGAAGTTCGTTCGTTCTGGTTAAGAACAATCGTAATTGTACGTAAGAACGCGCACGTAAATAACTTCCTCAAAAGAAGTTTTATTCACGGATAAAAAAAAAACGGAAAATGCATAGCAAAAATCCGTATACGCGGTTTCAGAATAAAGAGAAGATAAGTTTTGACGCATGCCACGTAGGAATTATCTTCCATACTATATGAAAAATTTCATAAAGCTTGTGTGCAACATATATGATTTGTACCGCAGTACAATAAAGGAAATAAAACTCCTTTATAATCATTAAAAAAACTTAGTATAACAACAGTCTTACTGTAAAATATTAGCACTAAAAATAAGCCTATGCTTTAGTGCACTGTACTAAATGTGTCAATATAAATCTGTGACAGAAAGCTGTTCGTCAAATAAATTAATATTAAAATGAAAAAAATTATAATAAATAAATAAAACATAATTTTAATATTTGCTGCTAGCAAAAATTAATGATAGGATATCTATTAGATATTTGATTTAACATATGAAATAATGTTGAACTATCCTGATTTATTGATACTATCACACCAATAATGTTTATATTACAAAAATTATTGGAGTATGAAATAGTATATATAGTGTGTATATAGAATTGCAAGTTTATCAGTGTAGTTCTATAACTTTTACCTGTTCCCCAATTAGCTGGAGGGACAGGAGCTGGTGCTGGCGTTGGTGCCGGAACTGGACTTGGTACTGGAACTGATGAGTTGCTTTTATTACTATTCAAAATATTAAGTATTCTCGATTGTAGCTCAGCTTGCTTTGGATCGTTAACTGTCAATGTTGTTGTAGCTGGTAAATCTTTTGCATCGCCCAATTCTACTTCTACTTGCTCTTCTCTTTTAACTTCAAGGTACTTTATAACTCTATCGTATTGTAGTACAGTCAATTGACGATTATCTGCTAACATATTTAAAAGAACTTGGATGGCGTCAGGATGACGTTCCATTGTAAGAGGTGTATTAAGAGGGACTGAACGACCTCCTGCTTTGTAATTAGCAAAATCTCTTGATATTAAATTAATAGCATCTTCAACAGGCATATTTCTGTGTTCTGTAAACCAATTCAAATTATTTAAATATATATATATATACTTATAGAATTTAAACGTTTGAGTACCACGAGCCACTTTTACGCTCTTCAAATTTCTTGTAAAAAAAAACCAGTGCATTTTGTCGATAAAGACAACTGACGGCACCCTTTTACCATTGCCGACCATTAATTAGAGGAGCACAATTGTTATCTTCGGCTTTTTTCAACACTTAATTGACAGAGCAGTATCGCACTGTTCAGCTGTTTTCGACCATGCTTTTTTTTAAATCTTCCGGTACTCAAACGGTACTAAACAACTAAAATTAGTTACCTTGAGGTAAACCATGTAAGATGTTAAGCGTGAGAGAATGATGTTCTTGATTAATAGGTGTTACCACTACAGCATACAAACAACCACGACTTGCTATATTTCCAAGAACACGACTCAAAAGAACATCTTCATTTGGAAATAATAGATCTACGGTTAGACCTACTTTTTTTAAACGCATTTCGATAGCTTCTGCATATTCTCTATAAATATATATAACCAGTTAATAAAACATGTAAAAAGCATTTATCAGTAATAAACATGAACAACTTACGTTAATGCTTTATTAACTACTATAATTTCACAATCATTTTTTTCAGCTGCAATTGTTGGATAATCTGAATTTGAATTGTTTCTAAAAAACACATATTTATGTAAAACGTCATTTTACTTTGAGCATTGATATTTTTACAAAAAATTTTTACCCAAAGTTAATGTTCATATCCCGAGGACCAGAATTTTTGAAATCATCATAACGAGAGTTACTATCATTAAAAGAGTCTCTTCCTCCAAAAGCATTGCTACGTAATCTATCATTTGGTTTATGTTCCCAATCACGACCAGTTTTATCATCTATACGATTACTTCTATTAATTGGACTACGATCTCTAAAATTATTCCCAGATGAATTATCTCTATTTTTGTTTCTATTTTTTCCTCCTCTAGTTCCTCGCAATCTACCACCTCCACCAGGAGTATTTCCTCCTCCACCACCATTGCCTGAATTTTGATTACCACCAGGTATATTTTGATTCCGATTTTGGTTGTTACCTGGCCTATTTTGATTTGTAGTAAGACCAAACAGATTAGTACCGCCTCTATTCTGATTACCTGGACCACTACCAAATGGTTCAGTTCCGCTTCTGTTTTGATTACCAGGACCAAATTGATTGCTGTTTCTATTTTGACTATTATTATTAAATTGATCATTATTATTTCCTCGAAGTTGATTCAAATTGCCAAATTGATCATTTGTACTATCTCTGCTCTGATTTCCATCAATGAATGGACTTGTTACAGAATTGTTACCAACAAATTGATTATCGTTAGGAAGATTCTGATTTGAATTATTAAATCCTTGATTTCCACTACTAAAGTTCGGATTTCCACTACCGAAGGAGTCATTTGCATTTTTAAAATGATTGTTTGTGGTACTGAATTGATTGTTAGAACCACCCAGTGGTTTTCCTGGTCCACTACCAACAGTACCTATACTAGAACCAGCTATACTTCCAGGATTATTTATTCCTCCACTGTTATTTCCTCCTCCTCCTCCTGTATTATTGTTACTAGATTGCGAATCTTTTTTGGCAGGTCTCACATCTATAAAGATAAATTTGATGATTTAACAAAAATTATAAAAAAACGTTTAGACAATGTGCTAAAATATAGAAGAATTATTATTTATTGTTTCTTAATAAAGTCGTTTTACAGTGTGAACTTATTAAATCTACACCCAACCCCCGAACAAGAGGACCAATTCCAATCGGCTGTCCGATAACTGCTTATTCAATTTATTCGTAGCTAACCTCCGTCCCTATCTGAGACAAAGAGACCTTTCCTCTATTCGCAACCTGAGGACGCGTTGTGTCGTGGTGACTGGGACCCACCCACCCCAGGGACCACTAAAACTAGTTTTCCTTTCCTGAGACTAACAGCTGTTATGCTAACACAGTGTAGAAGAATAATAGATGAAAAAATGTCTTCTTTACCTATTCTTCTGCCTTTAAACATTGCTCCATTTTCATTTTGAATAGCTTTCTGAGCAGATTGTTCTTCTTCAAATTGAACAAAACCAAATCCTCGATTAATAAGAGATCCCACAATAGTTCCATATTTTGAAAAGTGTTCTTCTAATTCGTGTTTTGTCATATCATCTGTTTGTAGATGACCTACAAATATCCGACTACTAACAGTAGCAGGATCTTTTAAAAGACGCGCACTCATTTTGAATTTATTTTGTTCCTTGTATACACACACATACACACATACACTGTAACAAATTAAGTATGTATTATGATTTACAATCTTATTTCGGTATCCAATTTTGTATAATGTATAAATTTGTTATAACAATGTTGCTAACAATTTGTGAACTATGAGGTTATATCTTAATAAGAAAATACTTACGTTTTTACAATTCAGTGATTATTTCAGATATAAATATAATCAAAATATGATTTAATCAAAAATGTATGCAATTCGTATTATTTGTTCGATTTTGACAATATAGTACACACCCATTTAAATCTTATTTTCTCATTAATATTAACCGCCACTAAACAAATGAAAGCTATGCCCAACACACTTATATATGTTAACATAATAATTTTAATTCATAAAAACGACACAGTCAGCTGATGGCGCTGAATGTTATGTATAATTAAAAAATATATGTATATACAATGTTTACCGATAAAATTTTTTGCAACTATTCTTGTTTTTATAAGAATTTAATCAGTCGTTATAAAATTACAAATACGTTTTTATTAATACGTAAAAAAAACTATTATTTTTTTATAAAAAAATTAGAAAATGAATAAAAATTACCATACTCAGGTCCCACCGAGATTTGAACTCGGATCGCTGGATTCAGAGTCCAGAGTGCTAACCATTACACCATGGGACCTTGATAATTTTTGACGTTTTATAAAGTAGTTATATTGTACAATTAATTTTTTTACATGAATATTATAAAGGTCTTATCAAACCTTCAATACACTGATTTTTTTAAAACTCTACATAGTTATACGGGTTCATAAAAATCATAACTGTGCAAACAGTAAGACTTAATGCTCAACCATTTTCAAGAAAATTCGTATATATCAGTTCGTTTCATATTAAATAGACAAATATATTTTTTATACTACCGTTTAATTCAAGGAAGGAAATTCTTAAAAAAATATACATGTGTAGGTTCATACATGTGTATTTATACGTAAAATAAATTAATATATTTAACTTTATACACAATAATTATGTATTTTTATTACATATATACCCAAAGAAATAATTATTACAAATGAAATAAAATTAATACAAAAATTTGTTTTAATAAGTAATTGTAAAGTACTATTTGTAAGAATAATGCCTAGTATTTCGTAAGATCACATAAGGGATACATATAGTACAATACGTATGTTAACAAGTTAGTAATAATAGCATACAAATGTAAATATGCTATTCGTGTATTATATTCTATCTGGACAATTAAACAAATTTTATATAGAGAGGAAATGAACTTTTTACAAAAAAAAATTCACCTTTTATTATAGTTAATTAAAACAATCTTTTGTTTGGTTTTTAAATTATAAGAAATATGGTGTTACTTTCCATCTTGTACTTCTTCAGGTATATTTGATATTTCAGACTTTGTGGCATTATCATTTTCATTGTCTTGCGTTATTGTATCTTCTACATCAGTAGTAGACTTATTTAATATTTCAGTCTCTTTCTTGTCTGTATCTAAATTTTTTGTATCTGAGTCCTATACATAAAAATCATGGAATATTTTCAATAATGATGTAATGACCTTGAAAAATTATTTATTCATAAATAGCCACTAATATTAATGCGTAATTATTAAAATATATAACATACCTTAACATGTGTATCATTTTGCTTTCGAGCACAAATTTCAAGTAAATTATACTTCCTATATTTATAATAATCAGGTGCGATTGATATTAAACATAGACCCCTTATTACTTCCACTACAACAGCAATTTCTGGATTTTTTAAATTAGCTCTGTTTCCTGGATTTTTTTTCTTGATTATTTCTGCTAAGTCGTTAATAATTTCTTCTCTGCGTATATTGTCATTACTGTGACGACTGAAAACAATATTTTTTTAATTATATTTGTAGCAATATTAAAAACATTTTGAGGTATTTTGATTATAATTGAATAATACTTACTTAACTACAATACTAAATGTTTTCGGTTCTTGAGCAAAATATTTCTCTAATATCACACTTGCTACCGATTTAATGTCGTTCATATATGGTTTGCATACAGCTTCTATTGGTAAAAGTCTTAGCAAGAATCTACTTCGTTGTTTTTTAGTTCTGTCTAATTCTTTGATTATATGATTAACTAATTCTAAGGGATTTGATAATGTAGTTTTAATAAAAACTACATTTTTTACGCCAGTACTTACCACCTAGTAAAAGTACGATTAAAAAATAACGAACAATATCAAATTATTTTTTCTCTCTGTATAGACAATCTTACCTGAAATCTTCTTAAAGCAATTGGTTTATCAGATTCTGCTTTTAATTGATTAATTTCTTTGCTCAAAGCAGTCGAAATATCTTCTTCATCACTATCATTTTGTTCAACATTTTCTGGAGATTGTATTTCATTTATTATAGAGCTTTCCTCTGTGCTGATTGTTATCTTAAAAAAATAAATATATATAGCTTATAGACACAAATTTTAGCAGAAATTAGAATTAATTTATTTTCAATCTTAATTACTTTATCTTTATTTAATTCATCAATTTCATCAGCAAATTCGTTAAGTAATTTATACGCATCTCGTACACAATCCTTTTCACGAAAATTACACGTGCATAGAAATCCTGTCATGCCGGTTTCTAAATTAAATGATTTACATTTTTTGAAGTTACTTTCTTTATTTGGATAGTTATACTTTTTCCTTTTATACTCCATTTATATAAACAATATAACTATAACAACAGTTATAATAATTCAAATATTTTTACAAAATAAAAAATTCGCTTTTATCAACTATATAGTTCGAGTAGTTTTAACAGTTGTGTGTATATCGATTATCGATATATGTTTTCGATACTATCGATATATACATTTTCGATATTCTAGATATGCAAACATATTCTCTATAATCATATTAAACACCAAAAGTAATTCAAATAAAGCTTATAATTGAATGAAAATTTTACAATGAATGTATTCTTTATATTTAAAGAAAATTAAATTAAAGATTATAATTTTTCCAAAGATTTATATCAATTATATATAATATTTTCTACGGTTAGTAATAGGTATTATGAAAAATTATGTTCAAGATATAAAAAATATATTCAAGTTATACAAAATATATTTCAAGTTAGTTATAATTATCTAAAAATAATACTTAGTATATTATATATATGTATATGTATACGTATATATTAATTAATATTAAAAATAGTTATAATAGATCTTTTATTAAGACTTGTCGTCGTACTGCAGTAGTTAAACCTTCTTTATATTTATACCAGACACCATATTTATCTATAATGTCTCGGATTTGTTTTATTCCTTTAGATTTTGGAGATACTATTGTATATGTTTTTAAATTATTATCATCTGGTACTGCTGTTTCACCTAATAAATTTCTTTTTGGCTACGATTAAATAACAGGAATGAGTATAACTAATATTAAAAAAATAATTTATATTAATTAAATTAATAATTAATTAATAATAATAATAATAATTATTATTATTATTATCATTATTAGATTATTAAAGAATATTCTTGAAGATTATTAAAAAACTTACCGAAATTGGTGCTGGAATTGTATTACCCCATTTAAGAAAATTTGACATGATAGATGCATTAGAGGCTTTTTTCATAGATGTTTCTGATGTTATTGAATTTACATTCATGCCCTTGTCATGAATTTTGTTTTCTACTTCTTTCTCAGTATTATTTTGGGTAATTCCTGTGACTTTTGTAAATCTCTTAACAAATTCAATTTGTAATTCTTGAGAAATAATTTGTAATACAGTATAAGGAATTTTTATACGATTTTTACAATCACTAAAGCAGCCAATATCATAAATATCACTATAGTCGATAATGAAATCAGATTAATTGCTATATTTATTACTATATAAATAAATAAAATGTATTGTATGAGTACTATCAATGATACAAGGTAATTGTTACAAGATAAAAGTTTTACTTACGGATTCAGTTTGTATTCGTATTTTCCTTCTGCATTTTTTTCTTGTACTAAAGTAAGTCCAAAATCAATCATAATGTTAACAACACGTGAGAGATTAGCTTTTTCTGTAGAAGAATATAAATGACCAGAAACAGTACGTATTTGTGGATTCAATAGATCTGGTAGAATAGGAGTAAAGTCCATAATCAATGTTATATTATCATTTCCACGATTACGTTTCACTGTTGTTAAGTTGCTTGTGTTTTTAGCAATTTTTTGATTTGTCTATAAATATATTTGTACTTGTTTACACATTGTTTACTTATAATTATTAGAATTTATTGGTTAACATAAAAATAATTACTTCAAATATGATAATAGGGAAAAATAATTTCGGAATTTTCGTAGTAGATAAATACAAATGCCATGTAAGAAATGCATAATTTATATACGGCATAATCGACCAATTTTGATTATGTAAAACACAGGTTGAAATTCCATCATAAAATTGAAACCATTCAGTCGCTACAGATACATTTTGAAGTTTCTCAGAACAATTTATAGGATAATTATGAAATATGCCTTGAACTAATTTTTCATTGTCTCCTATTTAAGAAAAATATTATATTAATGCAATAATACTCATGTTCAAGTAACAAAATAAATGAGAAACAAACAAGTAGTTAATATTAAAAATAAAAAAAATCATCAAATTACCACTTTGTACTATTTTCAATACTTTATGCATTCTATCACGAGTGGATAGAATACCTAGTTTAGTAAAAGGAACTTTAAGAATTTCTTTCCATGTATCAAATAATCCCTTCCGAGAATCTTTTAATCCTATAGATACATTATGTTTTATATTAACGTTTCCCATATATTGTAACGTACCAAGACAAGATCTTATATCACAATCACAATTTTCTACTAATTTTAGAAGATCATTTTGACTTATTTTTAATTTTTCTTTTTGTGCTATTTCCATTAGTCGTTGTACTATTCGTGTAGTACTTACTGATGGTACAGATATCACTAGAGAAACATTTCTCAGTGATCTAGAATATAATAGAATCAATGTTTTTTTTGATTCTCTAAATTAAATTGCATATCATTAATTAAAATACATACCTTAGAGATGGAGTATATAATTCATTACAAATACAAATTATCGGCCGTTGACAACTTTCTCCTTCTTTGTCGGTTTTTAATTTATTTTTTTTACCCTTGGAAGAGGATTTTCCTTGTACAAATCTGATAAGTTCTTCAATTGAAGCTGTCGGTGCACCGTCTATTTCATCAAGAATTAAACAATTTGGACGTGGATCTTTACCTAAGACTGCTTTCATTTGTGTTGAAGAACGTAAAATTTGTCTGTAAATAAAATATTTATGAATATTTATATTGACTAAAGCTACATTATTGATCTGTGTAAAATCACCTAAAAGCATCGGGTCCTCTTTCATCACTTGCATTAACTTCAATAATATTATAACCAACATGTTTAGCTGCTAAATGTGCTAAAGTTGTTTTTCCTAAACCAGGAGGACCTGTAAGTAATACTATCTTATGAATAGGATATCCTTTATCGTCTAGATCATTTTGTTTATTATCTACAAACTTATCTGATGTAGATACATTAATCTTTTGTTTTCGAGTAGATACTTCTTTATGAAATACTACTTTATCCCATAATTTTAACCAATATAGAAACTGTCTATTAACATTTTCATCTGAAAGAAGTTCTATATATTTTTGAGGTTTATATTTATCAACCCATAATTCAGTGCCACTTGTTTCGTCACAGTAAAAAGATGTAGTTACTGCTACGCTTGCACGTTTTGCATTGTTGACAATCTATTACGGTAAAAATTAATGTATACATAAATAATATATCCAGATATTATAATATAGAAATCGGTACTTTAGGTAATGTTGTAAGTTTTATTTTTAATGTACTTACAATTTCTTCCGCTTCTGCTTTCAGTTGATTATATGATACTGATAGTAGATTACGAATAGGTTTTTTTGACTCTATAGAGATATTTTCTTCATTCCTCATTCTAATATATATACGTTGAGAATCGAATGGTCTAGTTAATGCTATAAAATTCCATGGTGGTACACGTAAAGAAATGTTATCCTTTTCAGAACTATTATTAAAAAGACACTTATTAAATTATTGAAGTTATAAAGTTTTAAGTTGTAAGTTATATATGTTCTTACTTTTGATAATAATCGGTTTCAACAGATATATTACTATCATTTTCTAACAACTTTTTTCTTGTATTAATAACTGTTTTAATAATAGCATCTGTTTCATTCCAACAAGGTCTTTTTTCTTTCGGCTCTATTAATTCAGCTACAAGATAAATATATCAAAACAAAAAATATTTAATATCTCGAAAGAAGAATTCAATATTTGTGTTCATACATACGGAAAGTATCTTTTTCCAATAAATCTGATATATCACCAAATAGCTCATCATAATTTCTTTTTCTAGAATTACTTATGGGATTATTATAAGATTCAATTGTTTTGAAAGAAGTGCTTGGCTGACTATAATCATTTTCAACTAGTATTTTTGTTTTTGTTTGTTGCAAATGTAATTGTTGTTTTTTAGAATCAGTTATGAAATTATTATAAGATTCATTTCTTTGAAAAGAAGTGCTTGGCTGACTATAATCATTTTCAAATAATTTTTGTGTTTTGGTTTGTTGTGAGGTTTGTTCTTTATTATTTTGAATATTCTTCTTGTTATTTAATTCAGCTAGAAAAAAAATGCTTATATGAAAATCTTATACTTAATTATAAATAGAGAGGTTATGAAGCTTATACCTTCGATTTCTTTTAAAACGTTAAAGTCTTCTTCATGTACCAAATCATATTCTTCATCTGAATCTGGAAACTCATCCATTTCGTGTATTGTAGAAAAATAAATATAAAAAAAAAACAGAAAATTAATTATCTTTAAATTATATATACATTATTAGTTATGTTACTTTTCATATCGAAATATTTTCGCGCCTTCTTCTATTGTGGGTTAGATGATTATATTTGACCCTATTGGTTAATAACGAATATATGAATAGTAGCAGCGCTGATTGGCTAGACGTAGAGACCCTGTAGGAGGGACGCGCCATACTTATTGTTGGGGTTGGTATTGGCTGAAAATTTTGGGGGACAGCTTCCGATGCAAAGCGCAGCCATGTTTATCTTTAGTATGTATAAATAACGGCTGTGGTTAGTTATGAAGATATAATACCCAGGAATCCTAGCTGATTTATTAATATTGGAAATTAAAAACAAATTGTACAAATGATTAAAATAATTGTAAATATAATATATATAGTAGATAATTGTATTTATCAAAATTGTATAAATTCCTACAAGTTGTTTTGAAATTTCAAAATACTGTAATGCCTTTTATCAAATCAAACTTAATTGAATCCTTCTTTTTGAATTTATAATAATTTTTGTGTGTAACCTATTCTATTTTAATATAAATTTTTTAATTATCATTAAATATGGTTCATTTTTTTCTGTATTTGATGCAATTCATTATTTTATAATTTTTTCAAACCAATTCACCACTCTACCCCCTACATTATTCACTATTACTAAGTATATACAACTTTTATACTATTTAAAATGCTTGATTCATTCGCGCGCAATCACGTGACTACATAAGTTCCTGTCCCTCAAAATTCTTTGGCGCGTCCCTCCTACAGGGTCCCTAGCTAGACGTTAAAAAAAGAACTAATTGATTTTAAGTTATAAAATTCGATAGTTTGCCTTCTGAGTAGACTATTATTTATTTGAAAATTAATAAATAATAATAGAAATAAAATAAGGAAACAGGAAGTATATACGATATACAATTACTTATTTATTTTCAATTATTAAATATAGTGTCATAATATATAAATTATACTGTTTTATAAAAAATTGTAGTAAAATAGTAAAACATAAATTACGTATGTAATGCACGTTGTGCGGCAACATGCATTGTACTGTAAATAATTCTAAGAATACCAAACGACACTCCTTGGTAGATTCATCGCATTTTAAATATATAACAGGTTGGTCTTTCTTATCTTTATCTATATTTGCAATATCAGATATTTATATTCATCGAAAAATTGTAATATTGTTTAAGACGAATATAAAGAGATTATGACCGATCTTGAACATGTAAGTCATTTTATTTTGTAATCACGTCACTTTTTATTTATCAGAAGGTTATGCCCTAACGTTATCGTTGTTAAAATATTGTAAAATTTAACCAAAATATTTTTCGTACCGATATAGTAGATATATGAAGATTTATTTTTAATTTCTTTTTTCTAAAAAGTGAATTTGCTTTTTTTTACACATCGAGGTGGGAAAAATTTATTTCAATTTTAGAGATGAAAAAAATGTAGGGTTAAAAAATTTAAAGGATGGAAAACAAAAATTTATAACTGTTGTTTTCATTAAAAGAATTCTAAAATTTGTTGAAGATATGTTTATCTTATACTAACATAAGATGTCTTGCAAAAAGCTAGAGGGCACTTTTTTGAAAAGGAACGCGAAGTAAAGTTCAGTGATTGTCATGAAGCGGCATAGTGCGTTTCGTGGTGATGTGATTTGTTTTGGTTTAGCTTGATTCACGTGATTATTTTTAGCAAAATTAAAATTATATTGTATATTATTAATATACAATATATCCATACATTCCGTAACGTTTTTCTGAAGACCTATTAATAATGATGAACATCTCAAGTTTTACTATCTTTTTATATTCAGAAAATGGGTCATACTACGATTAAGGTAAGCAGTAAGCGTAAATCCTGCCGGCAAAATTTGCGATCGATAATGTTCTTCGTTATATATGCCTAGGGTTGGTTTTAGTCACAGAACAGAAAAACGTATTCCCTAATTTGTCTATTCTACAAGGGAAAAGGAAATTAATTTATTATATTTACATATATTTTCATCGATGATTTGTTAATGGTAATTTACCGAATGATAAAAATATATTTAGAATTTCAAACATACAAACGTGTAGTGTGTCCAAAATGTCATTTAATAGTAAACTATATTTTTTGACAGGTTTTCTGAATGGCGGTGTTGTTGATCTATACAGGGTGTCCCATATAACTGTATTAACGATTTTTCAAGTACTTGCGATAATCTGACAAAAAAGTAGTTTAAACAAAAGTTGATCTGTTTTTCTGTTTTTGATTAATTATAAATTGCAATAAAAGAAAGTTAAAAAAAATTTTTTTTTCTGTTTTTTTTTAAGGCTACCATTGTTTTTTTAAATGACACTTTATATTTTTGATCTTACGTTGAGCTCCACGCAAATCCTTAAGGAAATCCCCGTCAGTCTACGCGATTTATTTTGTATTGAAAAAGCAGTTTAACACGTTCAACTATTAAGAATGAAGAAAGAAAAATTCGCGTGGCGTTCAACTTGTTAACAAAGCACCAACAGATCATAAACGGTATATTTTTTGTTGAAATTTTTATTTCTTTTGCTTTCAAGGTCATTTGAAGGTCAGGTTCGTTGAATTCGTATTAATACAGGCTATAATACTGTAAGGTCAAAAATATAAGGAGTCATTTAAGAAACAAAGGTAACCTTAAAAAAATATAGAACAAAATATTTTTGTTAACTTTTTTTTATTGCAATTTATAGTTAATCAAAAACAGATCAACTTTTGTTTAAACTATTTTTTGTCAGATTATCGCAAGTACTTGAAAAATTGTGAATATAGTTATATGGGACAGCCTGTATATTTTTAATAACACTGTCACTGTAGATTCATATTTTGAAATATTGTAATTTTATTAACAAACTAATAATATTTTTTAAAAATAATTTTCTGTTGAAGGACCCAATCTTAATACAATCACAATTGAATATTTTATTTTACACTGTCCTAAGCAAAACCTTTTCCAGAATAAATTCAAATTGGGATTCTTACTCAAAAATAAATTACTCAAAGTAATAATTTGTATAAATTATAAATAAATTTATTACTAATAGTAATTAAGTTCTTTTTTTTTCTCACTCATTGTCAGTAAAGCAACTTTCGGGACATCTTGTATAATATAATAATTTGATGTTTCATTGTTACTCTGACGTAATATATATTGTAGTTCGCACAACGTTGTTTATTATGATTATGTTCTTTCAAATGTCTTTCAAGATATACAGCAGTATGATCATTGATATAGACGTAACAGAAAAATTATAAAATAAACATATAGTAACAATAAATAATCTAATGTTTAATAAATTATTTTTAACAGTATTAATTGTGTTTCTAGGTTTTGCGTCTTGGCTGTGTTAGGATATGGAAATAATACAGTTTACGTGCATGCTAACGAACTTGACTATTTGAATATTTATTTCAATTGTATTTTGAAAATTCTTAAGTAAGCGGCATGAAGTATGCAGGCTTCTTTGTCAAGAAAAATGATAGGATGCATCGGAAAGTGTACTTCTGGTTTAAAACGCGAAGAATTAGATCAGATAACAGATAATATTATTAAAACTCTAACGCATCCGCGTGGTAGAGAAATATTTCGAAGATATTTGGAACAACGAGATCTTCGTGATAATCTCGAATGTTTAGATTTATATGAAACTTGTTCGGAATTTATCGAGAAAGAACAAAAGTACGTATAAGAATTTTCTTTTTATTGAATTTGTGTATTTAATATTATAGCGCAATTATTTTGTTAATAGCACGTTGCCGAAAAATTTGAATTTAGAAAGCTTACAAAATGACGTTAGGAGCATGAAAGAACTTCTCGAAGATTTAGATGGTGTTGCAGAGATAGATTTAGCACTCTTGGAACGCTTCAATGACGCTTTAAACAGTGAGTCCAGAATAACGATGCTCGCAGTTATGGAAGATACGAGGGAACGTTTGAGAGATCATTTAAGGCGTGTGCATGGAAGTTTTAAACGATATGCATCAGAACCATGTCCTATGACTAAATAAAGCGTTACGATTTTTTGTATAAAATGAATGTATTATTGTATTTTTAATATAACGCGTTATTATATGATATCGATATGTTTTCAAGTGATATTTTAAGATTTACTATCTTGTAATTATACACTTATAATAATAGATTTATTGTAATGCACGAAAGAAAATATATTTCTTATGACGAAACTAATTTTAAAATGTATTACTTTTATTTCAAAATATCTTACATTCTTTAGATTTTTTTATATTAATTTATTTTATAAACATTAAAAATAAAAATATTATACACGTAAGTATAGAGGTTTGAAATTAGCGTAATATTCATATGCAATATTTTGTTTCTTTTAATTAACGTCCATCTGTTTATTATTAGTTCAATAAATAAATAAGGTTAAACAGCTATCTTAAAAGTATATCTTTTTAAATAGGCAATATGGGAGGAATTATTCACCATTCTAATAATGTAATAAGGTATAATGATAAAAATTTAAATTCTCCGAAGATTGAATATATTAATACGTTTTTGTCTTTATTAGTAAAACTAAAGTGGAGAAAAGAGTCAGTGGAACGTCAGGAGAAACAGTAAATACTTTTCAACAAAACATTATTACAAATATTCATACAACCACGGTAGCAGTAGAAAATTATAGGAGAGAAAATAATGATTTTATGTTTCATAATGATCCATTGAAACAGGATGAGAGTTAGTATGTAAAAATAGGATCGATAATATTTTTTAAAGATATTTTTACATAAAAAATATAATTTTAGAAATATTTCAAAAAGAACTTACTAAGACAAAGCTACACAGCTTATTTGAGACCGTTGATCAATTAGACGCGAGTTTAACATTGTCTCGTATTTTTGAATCTGAACAATGGCTGCGATATTCTGCTTTGAAAGCACAAAAAGCTACTATGATCGATGATCTCAGGAAGGCTAATAAACTGAATAAAAATATGTTGAGTTAGTCGATAATAATAGCAAATATATTTTTTTTTCTTGTCAATCGTTATAATTAAATTTCTTATAATTAGATTTATTTAGACAAAATGTAACGGATATTCGTATTGGAAATGCGGACACGTTACCAGAACCTCTGAAAAGAGAAGTGCAACGGATTTGGCACAGAAAGTAATCTTATAAGATACGTATTCGAATATTTCTATGATAATCAATTTTTATTAGGTACGACGATTTGTTGAAGCAAAACGAAAAATTGAAGAAAGATATTGTTACTATGAACGCAGTCGTTGAAGAAAGGAATGAGCAGGTTTATGACATTTCCAATTTATTTATTTAGTTTCTTACAATTATTGTAATTTATCGATATTGTTGATCGTTCGTTGATTCTATACAGATAAATATACTTGAACGAAAGTTATTGAATATGGGCGAACATTTAATAGAACGCGAAGAGGTAATAAAAAGAGTTTGTACCAAGTATATGAATCTTAAAAAACGTAAGGACGAGGAAGAAGTTTTATTAAGAGGTTCGATCGAGACCCTACAGGTAAAATAAATTTTTTGTAATTATTTTGAATTCAATTTTAATAAGTAAAAGTTTGATTATCATTTCAAAGGATGAGTTGCGAAAGATACGTAACGCGAATGTCTCCAGCAAGTCAGGAATACACCTGTCTTTAGACAAAGATGCTCAACTGGCCATGGAAATACGACGAGGTGATCGGTTGGTATACGAGAATGCACTTTTAAGAGCACATTTGCAAGAAGCAAAACGTGCATGCAAAAGTAGTAGAAGTAGCAGTGCCTTGTCTTTACAGAAATGTTCCTCTGAAATGTAATTTATCTATGTTTATATTAAAATTAATAAACAAATCTTTTTGAACATTCAGCTTTCATATTATTTATTATGATAGTTTAATTTTTCTTGTACATAAAAATCGTCCTTTCTTGTTGGAAGTTATACATAATATTATATATAAATACATAGATGAGTTGAATAGTTTTGAGTCTAATATAGAAACAACTTTTTTTGACAAAAATAGAAAACATTTATTTTATGATTTATTTTATAACAACAAGAATTGATAAATAATGAATAAAACAAGGAAATAATATAAAATCAATTTAACAAATTTTGGTTTGGGCTTAAGCCACTACCATAATTACTGTCACACATACGTGATATAATTCATTATATCAGCAAATAATAATATTACATAAAAGGTTTCTTTATAATTGGATTAACATTATTAAGTAAATACAGGTGCTTCGTTATATGAACAGTAAATCTGAGGACAGAAAGTTCACTTAGTGTGTTATACGGCACTGGGCTATCGTCTAATCATTCTTTCTTACATATCTCGTAAGTGATCAATAAAAAAAATATTATCTTGTGTAGATAATCAAGTGTATTGTGATATAAAAAAAGTTTTAATATGATTCATTTCAGATTAAAGATTATCATTTTTAGAAGGAATCAAAGTAAAATCAAGAGAAAAGATTTCATTTTTTTGGCTTTTGACGATGATTTTTCATCATTGATATCACTATTAATATTAAATATGCATTTGATGCTTTTTAATTACGGTTTCTTTTGTCTCTTGACTCCTCTATTGACGATATTAATAGTTTTCTTTTATATTTATCGTCGTATCGTCGAAGCAGTATTGAAGCATCAATTGAAAGACAGATTCATTGGTCTCTTGGATGGCACCGATTGCATTTGGGCTATCGAAGAACCTTCTGCCCTTTCTATCATAAACGTTCTTGTAGTTTTGGAGAAGGATCAAGTTAATTCGAACGTCTTAGAATGCTTTAGAAATTTAATTAAAGATCGGTTAATTGGTTCACCTTTCGAAAAGATACTTTATCGTAAAAACAAGAAATATGGTTACTATTTTTGGGAAAGAGCTGAAGAGATAGATTTAAAGGAAAGGATTAAATGGCTCGAACACGATCAAACACATTGCGATGGATACTGCGATGACATTTATAGCGAATCGTTTAAAAAAACATTGGAATGGAAGTGTAATCAACCACTTCCTCAACATCATTCAGTATGTTGGGAAATATTAATTTCGAAGAATTGTTCACGCGTAAGTAGTCAACACGTTCGCCGTATGGAAGAAAGCCGTTCTAGTACCGATCGTGGAAGAAGAAATAAGATCAAGATCCCCGTTTTATTTCGTATTCATCATGCTGTCGGAGATGGAACTGCTCTTTTAAAATTATTCTTGGAAACTATTGCTGATAAATCTAACGAAGTCTCGACTATCTTGAAAGAAAAGTGTACATTAAGGGGACGTCAAAGAAAGAATTGTGAAAGAACGTCGTTGAACGTGCCTATATTTACTCACTGTGTTAAAGATTTTAACGTCTACTGTGGACAGTCTCGTTATTCGGATAGCGTGCTTTCTGTCTGTATGCCCTTTGCCAATCCACATAGCCTTCGAATCTTAAAGACGATCGTACAGAATTATTTAAACGCAAAAATCAAATACTTCGAACATATTACCTTTAATAAATTTAAAAATGAAATGCAGATATTGCTATGTGATTGGTGGATCATTTTGAAGGAGTTTTTGATGAAAGAAGTTTATGAACATGTTAAAAACTTTGGCAAAATTCTAATTGTTTTTATTTTAATGCCCTCGTATTTAATGGAAAAGGCCATTCGCAGTATGGATAAAAAGTTCGTTAATTTTATTCGAAATTTTACTTTCTAGTGATATATCTAAATTAATACGTACAATATTTAAAGTTTTATTTTTTCAGTTCTCTTCACGGGCCTAAGTTAACTGGGAAGAAAATAATTACTTATTGGTCAGAAGATGATTACAGAAACTCCAGTCATCAAAAACTTATAATGAAGATCAAAGAAATAAAACATATTACTGAAGCAAGATTTGTAGAAGTTTTCTTAGCAGCGTTGTCTTCCAGTTTGCATAAATATTTTTTACGCGTGTGTATAGATCGTTCGAAAGTTTTTATAGATCTTTCTGATAAACGTTATTTAATATTTCATATTTTTAACGAACACGCAGATCAACGAAGTTCCACCTAATTCATTGACTGTTGTACTGCCAGCTAAAATGGGAAATCCAAAGGAACAGTTGTCCAATGATATCTCGGTTGGCCTACTTCCTTTGTGCATTTCCGAGATAAATGGCAAAGTATATTCGAATTTAGACGAAGACTCAAGAACTATTGAACGTCTACAAGATATAATGAAACTTAATAACAAACTACAAGAAGATCTAGATTATATGATCAATTTTTGGGTAATGAAGTTTCTCTCAGCCGTATTACCAGAAATACTGTTGAAACCTTTGATAGAGAGTCATAGTACGATGATTCTTAGCAATTTACCTGGGTGTCAAGAAGTACGCATTGTGGGATATCCTGTGAAAAATATTATTTTTTGGATACCGAACAAGTAAAATTTGGAATTTTTATTAAGACTTTACGATCATCTTACGGATTCATTTTAATTTTAATTTTATTGATCATATAAATTTGCAGAAGTAATACAGGCATCGGATTTTCTCTCTTCACTTATAACGAACAAGTACATTTATCCGTAGTTGCTGACAAAGCTTTGGTAAAGAACGAAAAAGTTTTTTCCAAAATATTAGGAAACACTGTCTATGAAATCGAACAACTTTATGAGAGCTTAACATCCACGCGTTTCTCGAAAAAGTTTCAATTTAATGAGAAAGCACCCATGGACAAAGGTAAATTATACTTATCGCGCAGACACTAATTTTTCTTTTCTTTTTATATTAATTAAGAAATTTTTAATCAATGCATCTTTCAGAAATTGGCGTGCCATGATTTTGTTTTGGATTCTGTGAATGAAAGCACGTTAACTTTTCATAAAATATATTTTTTCTATTACAATATTAATATCAAATTTGATATATCGTTTACATGTTGATGTTTTATTTTTTCGTGCGTGTATATAAATTTGATATACTAAAACGTTACTTTCTGCTTCATTATATGAAATTGATAGAGAAATAGTAAGACGTTACTAAATATATAACAAACAAATACTATCCATAAATAATAAGAAATATATCAAATATTTGACGACATACATATTTATCTGCATCATCAACGTAATGCTGCATGCATGCAACGTAAGACCACGATAATATATTGATTATAAAAATATTATAAGCATTTACACGATGAACTTGTATTTTTTATTTCTAGAATAAATATGTATATAATTTATCAAAATCATCTATCCGACTTGAGGAAAAGAAAAGGCCAAAAAACGATATCGAAAAGAGCGTTGAAAAAGGAAAATGTATTTCCACGACGATTTTGAACTCTCGACAATGACTTAGTTGTTAAGGAAGATTTTGCTAATGGTGCTACTGAATTTGGAACATTTCTACGATTTTTTATTTTCTTTTCGCTACTCTGGGAACTATAATCCGATGATACGTCAAAATCGTCGGAGCTTGTGTCTATATACTTGCGATGTTTCAAAGATCTAGATTAAATTAAATCAAATAAAACCAATTAAATTAAAAAAGCGAATCTTTTTAATTGAAAAAAGTCTTTCTTTAAAATAAAATTACATTTTTTTTTCAAAAAATAAATTAGAAATTATTCTTACCTCCACTTTTTTTTCGAAATATATTTTCTTTCCGGTGAACTTTTTGAATCGCTTAGTGTATCATCAATATCTCGATAACTGGATAATTCAGGATTGTAATTATTGCAAGGTCGATAATTTTGACTCCGTTTTAACCTTTGTAAAACTGTAAAGGTTGAAGGATCACTAGCACTACCGATAACAGCAGGAGTTGTTTCTGTAATAATTGTCTCGTCATTTCCGTCCTGTTCATCGTTTAAAAATGTAAATGAGTTTTGTTCTTTTTTCAAAACGCACCTATAAATATTTAAGAATTAATAAATACTTAATAAGTTAATATCATTATTTCGAAAAATTTACTTTCAACAATCATGCATTTTATAATAAACTTACTTCATATCTTTCGCATGTGAAATCGTATCAAGCGATTTTTTTGAAGTTTTTACAGATAATCTTTGTACTGATTCATTACGAGATATTTGAATTATGGCCGGTGATTTGGTCGATTTTGCTCGAGGAATTTTACTATCTTTCAATGTTAACGATCGAGGAGTCACATTATAAAAATTTTTCTCATTTTCACTTTTGTCTTTATCTTCACAATCGCTTTTTTGAGCATTCTTCTTTTGTACGTCATTTCTTGCAAAATATTTCTATACACAGAGGACAAATATATTTTATCTGAAAATTGGTTGATCTATTAAGGACAAAACGAAAAAGAAAAACTTGTTAAAACCTTAGAAAAAATTGGTGTCGATTCGTCCTCAATAGGAGTAGTTTCGTTTTCCGCAGTTTCCTCATCAGCAAGAGTAACGACGGTTTCATTTTCCTTGTCTTGATATTTCGAATTAGAAGTTGTTTCTGACTCGGTTTCTGACGTTTTTTTACTCGATAATTTACTTTTTCCACGAGTGTAACAACCTTTTTTTCGTATGGGTACACCGGTGTTGTATTTTTGTCCGAAAAAATTGGGTACATCTGGTTGACTAATAACCGCATCATAGTCGTATGTGATAACTGGTTTGATTTTAATATTCTGTTTATTTCTAGCACTGTTTTGACGGGACGAGATTTGTTTCTTTGTTCTCGGAATTTCATTTCGAACTTGCGTATTCATCGTTTCCCCGGCATGACGAAGACTCCAACTTTTAAATATGGAAAATGATAAGGAAAATTAAGAACATGATTAAATTATTTTTATTAAAAAATCTTAACAAATAGATAGAAGTATTCGATATACCTGGAGGTTACAGAATTTGTGTTAAATCGTTTCTTTGAATCTTTTCGAATTTTTAATTTACTCCAAAATTTGAGTACACTTTTAAACCTTTTACGATGAATCTTCGTAAGTGTAAGATTAGTATTATCTAAAGGTTCCGTAAAATTTGCCTCCTCACTTAGACATTTTGAAATATTTTTATTTGTTGGGGAAAGAGACGATACTAAATAATTCAATTTATATTCGATATTTGGTTGAACGTTAAAAGGCGTTTTGCTTAAATTCGCCAGTATTTTTATTTTAAATATAAGTGTTCACATGTTCCAAATCTTCGCGAAATTGTGGTTGGACGACTTTTCTTCTTTATGTATTGTCATCTTGAAAAACAACGATGATTTATTCGTAACTTCAACGTCGATGCGATTATACTCTCTATTTTTATAATAGTATATACGTACTATAATTTTCTATGGAAATATAGTGAGTGCCCCTTAAAATCGTATATCCTTACGCTTACTAGATTTTTTCTTGAAAACAATTGATAGAGTGTGCTTAAGATGTAAAGAAAATTTAGAAATAAATACATCAGTATATTTTAATTACATATTTATTGACATGAGTTTAACTTGAAAACTTCATTTATACAAATAAATTAAACATAAACGAAAATAATTTATAGAAAACGCCTGTACCACCTACAAATTATACATGTTGGTAAAAAAGAGGAATACCCGATTTTCTTCATGCCTAATAATTGGTCATCTTTTATTTTTATTGTAATTTAAATGTATTTATTATTATAATCAGTTTAATACTTATTAAAGTAAGAATAATAAATAGTACATTTGTGTACAAATTGTATACATATTTATTAATATCTTTCGAACTTAAAACAATTTAAATCTGATATTTTATTAAATGAAAATGTTTAAATCAAAATTATCACTGACCAAGAATGTTAAAACAATCCAAAATATTAGTATAATACATTACTATATATTAGATATACTTTAAATGATTGATAATTATTCGAAGGTAATGTATATTGTAATCTAGAAGCATATATAAACATTTGATTTAACATTCTTGATCAGTGATGATTTTGAGTTTAACATTTTCATCTAATAAAAATTCAGATCGAAACTGTTTAATAAGTATATTAATAGACAAATGCACTTTGTACTATTCTTTCTTTAATGAGTATTAAATTGATTCTAATACTAAAAAATATTTAAATAACAGTACAAAAAAGGGTAACCAATTGTTAAGCATAAAAAATCGAGTATTCCTTCTGTTTTTACACTAATACCAACATGTACAATTTTAAGATACAGGTGTTTTCTATACATTATTTTCGTATTTGTTTAATTTATTTATTATAAATAAGATTTTCAAGTTAAACTCAGTAAATGTGTAATTAAGGTATACTAATGTATTTGTTTCTGTGAATTTTCTTTATCTTAAGCATACTATATTAATACGATTTTAAATACGATTTAAGTCATATTTAAATATTTAATGTAGTGTATAAATAATAAACGAGTACGATTTTAAAAGATATTCACATATGTTAATGACATTTCTTTAAGGAAATGTTAAAATAAAAAAAAGATAAGACTATAAATAAAAATGATGCAACACGGAAGGAAAACGAAAATTTGCATTAATTGTATATTTATTTAAATTTTAGTAACCCGTTTATATCTAAATATAGTCTTTAAGCGCCTAATCATACCGTTATCTAACAATAGGTCTATGAAGAAGAATGCGAAATACGAATCTTGAAATTTTTTCATAAGTTAAAAACATCAACGCCGCTGTTAAAACAGTCTGCAATAGTTTAGCTTCCATTCCTTTGTATAAACCAAGTAAGCCTTGTTTCCTAAAAAGTAAACGAAGATTTGAACGATGTTATATTAATTGAATGATTGGATAATTTATTTAAAAATGGAGGGCATACTTTAAAATGTAAAAGAAAATTTGAATAGTTCCAGCATTCGGCGATAAATCAGGATACTTATGTCCGTGCTAAAAAAAGCACATATATACATATGTGATCGAAATTAGATTAATTTTTGAATAATTTGATATTATTTACCCTCAGTTTCGTTTGTATTAATTGTAAAGGATAAGTTAATGTCGTAGCAACCGTTTTAGCGATCGCACCAATAGCAAAAAAGACCCAAGCTGATGGTTGAATACCAGAAGAAGCACTAACCCTTCTTTTAATACTTTCGTATGTCATGAATTGAATAGCTGGATTTGCTACGAGAAGGAGACTTGGTAATGTACCTGCCCATAATTTTTCTAATCCTTCAAATTTCCATATATGGAGAAGACCATCTGAAATAAACCAAATAAGAAAGAAAAAATGTAGGGGAAAGGTACATCGTTAAATTCTTTTTCTCGTTATTTTTGTCAAGCGATTGGAAAACTAACATTTTATGCAGCATGAATATGTAAACGTGAATGAACTTATTTTTATTTCTGCATTACAGAGTACATTATTATAATTTTTATACGTCATAACGTAACATTTTACGTTTTACTTACCGTACAATGTATTATAATCGTTATTGTTTTTCTCATTAACACTATTAATTCCTTTCATTTTCAATCTCGTATTAACAACCCAAAGTGGTGTCGTTGTCAGCACATTTATCACACCTGCGAAAATAGTTTCATGTGTTTAAAATAATATTAATCCTTTGCCTTACGATTTATTTTTAAGGAAAAGTATGTGTAGAAACTGTGAGAAAAATTAGAAAGAAAAAGAAAAAAATTTTTAATGTTTCAGTTTTTATTAAATTTATTTATTCATGTAAAAATCGTGTTTAAAAAAGAAAGAATTCGAAATTGTACCTGCGATCGATGCGACCAAAAGATCATTTCTAGCTGTTTGATTTCTTCTACTTCTCAACATTTTTAATCCATGAAATGTGTAGAAATAAACGAAATTACTGGCACAAAGACTTTGAAGAACTGGCACCATTCCTCGATACAGCGTATGCCTGAGTGATAAATATTAAAGTTAACAATGTATATAATTTTAAATAAACAACATTGAAACTTTTTTGTTGAATATTTTTGTAAAGATAATATATGATAAGAATATGACATTCAACGTCTAACATTGAAATACATTTGATAATTAGTTATGGCAACTTACGGTCCTTCTTTCGAAGTCAATTCACGTATCATCGCAAGCGTATTTTTTGCTTCTCGATTTTCCTCTACTGTAAATATTTAGAAAAAGCAATCTTGAGTAATTAGCATTTAAAATTGCATATCTTTGCATACATTCGATTATATTTTAGTACTTTGAATTCGTATTTAACACAAAAAATGACAATAGAGATTATTACCCTTGTAATTATTAACACATTGCATGCAGGCAATGTACTTTTACGTTTTTCGTAGTCTGCCATAGGAGCGCGGGTCACGTAAAAGTACGTATTTAGTAGATTTGTGATAGAGAGCGGGTATTGTATAAATACGATGAGCATTGTATGTATGGTGTTTGTTCGAAATAGTTTCCGATTTAGTGCGATTTTACTGAATGACGTTTACTGCACGTGTAAAACTCTTACATGTTTTACTGTATGCGTAAGACCGCGGCGAAATATGCTCGCATGTAATGTGTTAAACTAGTACGTCACCTTGTGGAAGTAAAGATGATAAAATTATTTGCTGTTGTGATATATTTTGTATTTATTAATATACAAGATATTCCACATGTCGCTTTACTGAGACAAAACAAGAAAAAATCAATATTGGCTTATTAATAGAATTACATGATTGTATTTAATACCTTGTGAAAAAAAATATGGACTCACGTTGCTGTCCTTCAAATTACGTGCTAATCCAAATTTTGAATTTTTTATTTCGGTAATACGACTTTTGGGACACCTTGTATACATGGTATAAATATTATAATATTAATAATAATAATAGACTATATTTATAATCTATTAATTATTATACTTATTATAAAAACTGAGTTCCAAGGTTAACGATAAATTATAATTAAAATTATGTAAGGAATTATACTTATTGATTTTTTATATAATAACCTATTTCAAATAATAATCTTAATACGCTATGTGGCATGTGGACAATAATTAATTTAAGAAAAATCCGGAAATCGATCTATTGCGATTATATTTGTATGATGTCCACGATTGAAATATTGTGTATTGTGTATTTGGCGAATTTTTTACACATTCTATTTTTACATGCGTTACGAGCGAATATTTAAACAAATAAAAACGTACGAACACATTCTGAAATGGAAAATTAGGTTTTATCAAATAGTTTAACACTTTATCTATTCGAGCTGAATTATTAAAAATGGCATAAAAAGTGTAAGGTAAACAAGTCGTTGAAAATAAAACATCACAGTAATTTTTAACATGTATGAAAATATTATTGTTTTTCAATTTTTGCCTGACATCTGAACGATATAATTTATATGAAAAATAAATAATTAAGAAAATGAATGTAATTTTAAATTAATATAATAAAAAATCTCACGTTGGAGTCGGCTTCTGACAGTGTCCAGAGGGAAGAAGGTTGCCATGGCGATGACGCTACCCTAAATAATAAATGAAATAAATAAAATGAATAACGCGCCAAAATAAGTATAACTTTAAAAACAAAATAAATAACCCATATTAATTATTAATCCGTATTACTTACATTAGATAATTATCGAATAATTAAATAAGTCGATACTTACTGCTGCGCCTGACAATGCGTGTACCAGAGTATCATAAGTGAAGATACTTCTTCCAGCATCGTTGCCGCCCATTTTGAAATACTTTTTTTCAATAAGATAAAAATAAAAATGAGCATAAAAAGAACGCGATTTGCCTTTAAGAAAATCTTTCACAAAATTTAACAAAATAAAAATACAATTGAATAATACGCTAGACTTGTTAACTCGTTGAGTTTTAGGAAAGGTATAAGGTATAACGATTCCTCATGATTCTTTCTCCCTACTTTGCCGTCCGCCACAATACCGATCGATTTTCTCAACGAGGATAGCGTTTTCACGCGTATATGATTGGTCAAGCTGCGTCGATAAACGACGGAGACGACACACCGGTTTAATATCAACAAATGAATATCAAATTCTTTGATCACTTTGTTCCTTAAAAAAACGAAAAAATTATAATAAACGGTATAGTTTATTTACGTGATATTTCAACATCAATCAAAATATGTATCTTATATAAGAGAAATCCCACTTTAGTTGAAACCGTCTTCGTTCACCAAAGGCTTTCGTCATTCTGAATAGCTGTTAACTTCGACGCCAGTACCGGCCCTAGTCAAGTGCGATAAGTGGAGAAGGGGGAGACCTTTACGTCATTCGTCTCTACTACTTTTTTGTTTAAACTTTAGAAGAGAAAATAAAATCGAATAAATTTAGATAAATGTGTTTTCTTTTTTTTTCTATGCCTCAACAAAAATTATTCATCAATAATATTATCATTTTTCATCTTTGGCCGATGCCTTGTGGATGTTTATGGTTACTTAATTATATACATTCTTACATAATTTTTTAAGGGGATTAACGTAAACTATCAATTCAAGTTGACAGAGTGAACTCTTACAACATAAGTGTTTTCTATATAATTATTACCATTCCGACTAACGTGACACACATGCGTCGTCGCTTCAGTCTACATTCGATGAGTAGACACAAAACACGATTGTATCAAGTCTTCTGCTATTTAATTATTTAAATAGGCGATTATTATTCACATTTAAATCATTACATTAAACCTTGAGGATAAGCAATTATTTATGTTGTTATCATTAATGGTAACTACTTTAAAAAATAATATATCGTTTTTTTTAAATATTGTTATTAAATACTATTTGATGTATATATGTATGTGTCTATAGATGATTTAGTTGAAAGAGGTCCATTGAAATATTTCCTAGACTTTTAATGTTTGTAGTATACCTTGATTGGTTTGAAAAAAGTTGTTTAGACCTTTTTTTTCAAAGTCATAAGTCATTAATTATTATGAAATAGGCATGAATTTTTTTTTTTAAATCTTATAATCGAGAAAATATATATTTAAATATATTTGCATAAAGATTTTTCAATGACCTCAAAACCTCGAAAATGGAAAAATGTTGCAACAGAATATTAACAAACTATGTAGATGAAGAATATAGAAGTACATAGAAGCTCACAAGTTTCGATTTTTATCTAATCAGATTCATCTGAGTTACAACCGAGACCACCAGTAGGCGATAGTAGATAACACGATGACGGTACAATACTATCAAAGAATACAGTATTCTACCTACAATGGCTCACTGGTGGTCCCGGTTGTAACTTAGATAAATTTGGTTTGATAAAAAACGGGACTTCTAAGTTTCTATGTAATTCTGCATCCTTTGATGTAGATTTATTTTTTATAGTACTAACCGTTGGTAATAGCAGATTTATTAAATTTCGATTAGTGGTAATAGTAGATTCTTTTGATTATTAACCGTCGGTTATCCTAATTAATATCATATTTTCATTTCTTTCTTTGGTATCTCCTTTATCGTTATCATCTAATAGACGGAGAGTACATAATAACTACATAAAAACGCTTTTATCTGGTTAAAGATTCATTTCTATTGAAAAAGGTACCTTTGGTATAGCTGAACATAAATCTGCAAGTCTGCCATCGCAAAACTGAGGCCTAAAGCGGGGGGGTACGATTGAAGACGTGAAATTTAGGTGTGAAAAAAATCATAAGGTACACGGATTTTAATTATGGAAAAAGCTTGTATTTATATTAAGGAATCGCGAAAAAATATTGGCAGACAGTTTGCTCGGGGTTGAAGTGCCGCCAGAGCGCGCTAAAGGGGTGTAAAAATTAATTTAAAAAAAATCACAAGGTTCATGAACAAAAACTGTTTTATTTTATTATTTAAACATTAAGAAAACAATTTACTAAATGGCAGACAAAAATTTGGGGGCTAAAGCCTTGGCAGACGGCTTGAAAAAGCGCGCTATAATAGCTTACATAACATAAAAACTTTCTAAAACATTTCTTGAAAAGTATTAAACCTTTCAAAAAAGTTTCTAAAAAATCTTTCTACAAGGTGAAAATGTCCAGGTTAAGAGACTTGCAAAAGATTACTCTATCAGTAAAATATTTTCGAAAATATTTTATTTTCAT